GCCACAAATGATGTTGTCAAAAGCTGTATTTTACAGACTGGCATAGCTGTTTAATTACAATATAACACTACATAAAGGTAATATAACCATCAGTGTATCTTGGAAGGAAAGCAAAATACACCTATGAAATAATCTGGAGTAAAATTAAAGTGTAAATATCAAGAACTGCTACGAGATGTTACCCAGTACATAACTGTCCACAGTGAAAAGTTCAGTTTTACCAGTCCCTCAAAGCACTACCTGGATGCATTTTTCTACCACCCTGACTACATACAAAGCTCACAAACGTGACAACCCACTTCAGCTTCATTACACAACTGTTTGTAAGGAAGCTGAGAACCTCATCTGAAGTTTGGAATAAGGAATTTGTATTAATCAGATTAGTGCTTCAGAAAGAGCAGGGGCAGGAAATTACAGGCTCCTCACCACTGGATGAAAACTCCACATAATCACAGGGTACAAGAGGAAAGTAAATGTGAGACAGAAAATAAGAAAGGAAAAGGCAAGGAAGGGAGAGATTGTCCACACAGATATTGCTAACCTGTATCTGAAAACAGATGACAACTGACAGTGACATGCTCCAAGGAACTCAGTTCCCAGAGATCTGGCAGTCCTCAAAGCAGTGGAGTGGCTTTGACAGTAACCTGATGTGGTGGTTAATCCCCCTTTGAGCTTCCAGGACCACCATGGGCTGCAACCAGCACCTCCTCCTGCCCGGGGCCTCTCAGAGCCAGCCAACTCCCACGTTTGCTATACCTGGACCTAAAGTGTTGGTCCAGTCCGAGGCTAAGTTTGGTAAGGAGGTCCACTCTGAATGTTGTGACTCAAAGGGAGGGTTCTCCCTTATTCCTTTTTATCCTTACCCTTTTCCTATCCCCAGCCTCCACACAGATCATTTTTGTTGATTTTAGCTTTAGATTGATTGATTTTTCTCTGTGTGCTTTACCCCTGTAGCAGTGGGTGCAGTGAACATGGCCAATGAACTTTGTCACACTTTGACATTAAACCCGCTTTTTCCAATAATTCTTTGAGCACCCTAAAACACTCATTCCCAACACCTGACTCCACTGCACACTGTGCCAAGGAAACAACAGGAGAGATGATATTTTCATACACTGCACTGACTGGTTTGAGAGCTGACAAGACAGAAGGTTGAGAAGTTGTAAGGATTAAGATCAGGCAGGAAAACTTGCTGGCATTGCACAACAAAGACTCTAAATCTGCAGGTCCTGGGGCCAAACAGCAGACATGCAAATTATCTACCAACACCAGCTGGTATCTACCAACACCAGTTCAGTCATGTTCATTGTAAAAAAACTATGTAAAAAAATATAGTTCTTAATGAAAAAAAAACCACCACCACAAACAGAAAACAATAGATTCCTTTTTCTCTTTTATCTAAATAAAAAAAGGTGCAACACGACAAATAACTGGTTTTCAGTTCTCGGTCATTTCATAAAGGAACTTGTGAAATTATTTTAACTAAAATGAGAATATTACACTGCACTTGCACAAAAAAAAGGTATTTTTGTAACGGGCCAGCTCAAAGCTACAGTGTATTTTGATTGCCAATGCTTTGAGTACTTTCCGGTGTCTTTTGCTGAAGAGGTATGTAATGGGTAGAGTACCTGATTTTGAACGACTTTATCAAAGTACATAAGTTAAGCCAGTAACACTAGTGCCTAATGCAAACACATTTTTATTAATTTTAAAGGGAGGTGTATTGAATTTGAAAGCATATGCCTGTGTATCTACTCTACCTCATACCTCTGAATGACTCAGCACTTACCCACAAAGCCAGTTGACATTATTTTGAACCATGACATAATGAACTATGCCTATTATCAATAAAATGTTTCCAAGTAAAGCATCTTAGAAAAATCATCTGTATACTGCCTGTATATTTCACAGACCAAGACAACAGGAAACAAGTTAATTTGTGTTTTCTGCAGCCACACATTTCTATTTTAAGCAGACAAAATCCCAAATTCCAATCAACTCAAGAATTAGGGAAATTTAATTCTCAATTACTGAAAGCTCCACATGGCGAAACTCAGTCTTAACTAATGCAGAGAAGCTGGTCAGACATTGACTGCAGGGAAGGAAGGCAATCCTTGCTCTGTGTCTCTCCTTAACAGTCTGAAGAGAGGATTATTTACTTACAGACATAGTAATGAGGGAGCTAGAAATGTCTTGGGATATAGGATATACAAAAAGCTGATGGCCTGGTGACAAGCAATTCATCTCATCCAAACATACTATTACTGAGCAAGCACCACTCACTGCTCTTCACCCAGTGTGTGACACACAGGAACACATCAGCCCATCCACATTTTCACATCAGCTCTGCCACCACTGCAAACTGACCTTTTTGAGGTGCAAACCTGCAGAGCAAACCTTCAGGAATGCACGAGGCAAAGACACAGCAACACCACACGGGTGTCCTGCAGTTTGGAAAGGCAGAAGTCACACGGGATGACCAGGGAGTGTTTGAGTGTCCTGGTGTGACCACAGGGCCAAAGCTCAGTTCCCGGGACATCCAGCCCAGGACACCTGAGTGCCACCACTCTGCTGACTCCAGCTGGGGCCAGCTGAGAGCTACACACACAGTTTGGGAGGGGTGTGTGTGAATAAATACATATACAGGGAGCTTCTGCAGTGAATGCCCCACAGAAAGAAGCCAAACTCCAATAAGATCCACACAAGAGCAAGTCTGACCAGTCCCCTGAGATGCTCCTGCTTTTATTATTTGGTACCTGAGTTTTACTGCTTTTGCTGTTGATACGTAATTCCTGTAGGAAATGGCTTGCTCTGGCATGCTGGTTACATGCAGATATTCTGCAACCCACTTGCCAATAAACTGTTACACTTCTACACAAAGAAGCTGCTTGGCTTGTCCAGAAAAAGACATTGCATTTGCCTGCCAGTTCAATTCATAATCATGTTTCTCACAGAAACCAGCATTCCTGCTTATACTGGGCTACATTTGCATCTCTGCATGTAAAAAAAAAAAATACTTATCTTGCATCAAGACACACCTTGCCAACTACATAGAACTCTGCAATTCACTTAAATGTTGCTGGAAGGTAGAATGAGTTCATGTCAGAGAAAGCAAAATACCACATATCGTGCATTAAAAGAATTCACATATATAGGGTTTTTCATTGTTTGCCAGCGTGAACCAGAAACTTCCAAGCAACCAACATTTACAAAGTAATTTGTTGTTGCTGCTAAAGATCTGGAACTGCATTTTCAACATAAATCCCGAGTGAGTGAATGTCACCAAAATGTATTAAGATCAAAGAAGTATCAGGATAATAAAATACACTGCAGTAAAGTAATTCCTTAAAAGCAAATTTCACAACCCACAGCTAAAAGTTTCTTTAGAGAATAATTTTCTGAGGCACACGAATTTTACTTCAAGCGGCTCAAAAAAGATCTTTACCCTCCAAAAGCAGAGTCACGTTCGTGTCAGACAAAACTCATTAATAACACTCAAAGATGATACCATGTCATACTACAGGTGTGTCTAACCTACATAAGGAGCCTTTTGCAAGGCACAGATTGCACTAAACAGTTGTCTCAATTATTCTTTCACCAGGCTGATGTTCAGAAGGCAGCCTTGCTTTTAGGTAGAAGCATTTAACGCTCCCATGTGCCAAAGCAAACTTTCAGAGGAGCTGCCTCAGTTCCGGAACTTTGGAGGAAACAGTGAAGGACTAACACAGAGTAAAGAATGTGGGGTATTCCCAAATTCACAGCAAAGTAATGCAGTATATTACCACGGGATGTATGAGAAGAACTGGCCAAACCTGTATAGCTGCAATGAATCACAGTTCTCACAAGAAAAACGTACAGGCTGCACCAGCTCAGCAGAACCAAGGAAAGGCTTTATTTTAAATACCATGTTCATCTACTCTGACCAATTTTTACAGAACACTGAGGCTGTCATTCCATAAGGAACAAAGAGAATGTAAAAGAGAAAAGAAGAAAGAACCTAGCTCAAGATATTTCAGTCCAACACCATGCCTATGAAATGCTGGGTGGTTATTTCTCTTTTTATAAGGAAAGCCACAAGAGGAAAAGAGTGAAACCAAAAGGACAAGAGAGAGATCACAGTGCTATGGGAATGCACGTTTAGCCAGAAGTACCTGAAGCAGTAAGACTGCTTTTGACTGACAGAAATTAATTATCAATGTGTTAGAACCACTGAGGGAGCTGCTGTAGTTTAGGGTTCCTTTGTATTTGGCATCTCTACTTCATGCACTGCAAGGCAGTACAGAACTCAAACATCTGTTCTGGAAGTGACAAAAGCTGTAGGGAAAAATCAAACAGTGTTGCTGCTACAGCAATAACAATTTCAGGTAAGTGCCTGGAGATTCCAGCCTAAAAGGAATGTTCAACAAGGAACACACATGAAAACAATCGTGGATGCACAAATAAGATGCAGAGAAGGATAGGGATATACAAGCATTAGGACTGCTGTAAACCACTGACATCTAGAGATAGTCAAGAAAAATGCAGAATAAACTGTAACACAAGACTTCATATGCAATAATTCCTAATTTATATTTCACAATCCATATTTAATTAATGTTATTTTTTCCTTTTGTGGTGCACAAGAACCATGAATAGTTTCCACAGACTTACACAGCAATGGCAGACATTGATCCCACATGCACAAATCATGTTTGGCTGAAGTATTTACATCCCAGATTATGCTGTAGATTTCCCATTCTCTAGGCCTTGATTCCATATAACATATTCAGGTTTAGCCACTGCTCTCCACATGGCTCAGGTCACCAAGGCTAAGGCAGTGCCACACAACTGGATCTAGCAGTTGGTACTCTGACAGCCCAGTAGTGAATGAAGTAGTCCCCAATTTAGTAAGCTACTGTAAATCAGTCTTAATGGCTACCTCCTCCAGAGGCCACCTACATGCTGTTCTGATACAATCCCAGATCCCAGGAAAGACAGAATTAGATTGTGCAGCTTCTTACCTGCAGCTCCTTTGAGACTCTCTCTAAGTGGTTAGTTATCTTTTTTATTAGGTCACTATACATCTGCTCCGAATGTTGCTGGCATACACACTTATACACACAACTGCAGAAACAAACACAGGAACAAACAGTGAACCCACAGCAGTTTGCAAAGGAGGGCAACAGACTTCAAAATCATTTGTACAAGTTGCAATTTAGAGGATAATAGAGTTGAGTGATTACTGAACTTTTAAATACAGTCCTAAGCTCGGAATGAGCTCCAGCAAACTCTTAAGTCTCTGGAAGCTCAAGGGTGTCCATCCCATTCCCCCTCCCCAACCTCATTTTTACTCACAATGAGCTCTCCTCACAGGGCCATTCAAAACAGCCAGGACAATTCTGTCAACAGCACATTCCTAATTCTGGCTTTTGCCTCTCCTATGTCAATTAAGTGCCCATTAAAACAAGCAAGTTTAATGATTGTATGAATATTCCAGACAAGCAGTCACAGAAGTTGCACCAAAACCCTGATAAGTTTTAAAAGGATATAGTAAAAGTTCTAAAATTACAGACCCAAGCACGTTACTCCATTCTTTGTTACTTCAATTCTAAGAAAATCCTACACTTTCATAACAAAGAAAGATGCAGAAAAAAAGCAATAAAATTTTAATTCTACATTCCATGGCTTGGCTGTGTTAACACTGGTGTTCAGTGTTACCTTTGTTTTTTAAGAATGTTTTATTCCTCTCATACTGTAATATAAGATCTGCAAAATAAGGCTGTTTATTGAAAACATATTTACAACCATTGTAAAACAAACACATGTGGTTACTTTCAGCAAGAGGTTATTAAGGTAGTCATCATCATCAGGACTAACACAAACACTAATCTGTACCAAGCAGCTTTTACTCTTCTTGAGTGTTTTTATTCTTTGAAGTCAGCATTTTGAAATCTAGCTGTCAAAAATCAAGAGGCACAGGAAGACTTCACCTGGTATCTTGGGCAAGTCCAGGACTTGAATTGTGCAGGCTTTTAATGGCCCCAAAAGCCTAAAGCTACAAGACAGCAACACTGTGTCTCTGTAGGGGAACTATGACTTTCCAGTTCTCCACTGAGAAGGTGGGACAAAGACAGGCAAACTACAAAGATGGCATCAAAGCAACTGTGGGCTACTGAAATCTTCTAATGCAAGTGAGAGGTTAGGCACCAACTTCAAGCCTTCAGAGACCAAGACAATGCTCTCATTCAACAATTGCAACTCTCAAAGTCTTCTGGAGGAGGCTTTTACGAGTGAATTAGCAGTAACTCTAAGAAGTCTGTATTTATTGCCTCTGACAACTTCAAAGACCCCAAAATACAGCATTCATCCCTATGCAAAGTCTGCTCATTTGGTGAACAATGCTATTTCTTAAAAACCAAAAGACACTCCACACCTCTCCCATTACTATATTTAAAAAATAACTGAGTATCTGCCATTTGATATTATTTAAATAATACCAGTCAAAGTTGTCCTTTTTCTTCCACATAAAGTCTACCAATAACAGATTCTATTTTGGGACAAGCAAGTGCAAAAGACATTTTAGTATGATGCTTTTGGTAAGAATCAATTTAATTTGGATCAAAGAAACACTGATAAGAAAAGTAGACTGGCTTTTGTGATGTCTCACAAATCAGCCAGCTGGGTAACCACAGCAAATGGCCACATGTTTGGTTGCTCCATAACTAACCAAATACAGCCACTTCCACAAGCTGACTGCTTCACTGGCATGTAACAAACTGAATTTTAAAGTACACTTCTGCTTAGTGTTACACACACTGTTGCTGCACCTACTTCTGCAACACATTCTGTAATCAAACACCAGTCTCTGTATGTACGTGCAGGGTGTGTTTACATCTTGGGTTTTGTGTTCACTTCTATTTAGAGGCTCCTTCCCCATTTTAAGATCCTGTTTTCAGTTCCTGATTGTGGGCTGATCCTGTGAATCATCCTCACCCTGCTATTACCCAAAAGAAGTCACCAGCCTGTCAGTTCTGCAGCATAACCCAACACCTCAGGAAAAGGAAGACCCCAGGACACTGGAAGGTAAGCACTAGACAAGAGGGATGAATATCTGATATCTCTAAGTTGTCCTGAGGAACAGAAAACTGCCTGCCCTGCACCTGGGAGCCAGTGGAGGCTGTCAGAAGTACAACCTAAATGTTCACCTTCTCCTCATCTCAAAGTTCCCTTCACATCTCTCTGCCAAGATATCCAACATTTTATAACAGGAAGTCACTGTGCACAGACAGGCTTTGGACCCAAAGCTGAAAACAGCCATTAATGACACTTTGATACCTTACAGGTAAACTGATCCATAGGAAACATACCTTGGAAGTTACCTCCTACCTTTCACTGCTGGGGAGTAGACACCTACAGTTATCACTGACCATGGCAAATATAACAGTTTGGGTGTCTAATAATGTATTTTGAGTTTGCATTATGGAAACCCTGACTCCTTTACTCAGTACAAAGATGACCAAAAAACCCACTGTATTTTCACCTTAGTTTTACTTTAAAAAAAAATATATGTAGCTGTTTGAACTACTTCAAGAAACATCCTATTTTTCAGACTTAAGAACTGGCCTAGTTCTTTAGTCTGTTCTTCTAGTTCTAGAAGCAGAGAGGATCTAAACTCCCAGTCTGCTACAGACTCTCAGTAATACTCCAAGCAAGCATCTTTATTAATCTCAATTAAAAACAAAATCAATTTTCCTTCCCTTCTCAATCTATCTTGTCCAGATTGTCAGTCAAAGGAATAGCCTAAAAATATATAAAAAACAAACAAACAAACAAAAAAATCAATCTTACGATTGGAAGAGGCTGTGTCAGAATAATTACAACCAGACATAATTTTTAAAAGAAAACCGACATGTAAGTTTTCCCAGTAACAGTAAACTTTAAAAAAATCTTAGTAATAGTAAAATACATTCAATAGACACCCGTGCATCGGTACAGTCCTGCATCAGGTGTCCCAGATTTGTCAGGGTTATCTAAGAGAAACCCCAAACCCATTATTTATTCAATAAATAAAACTTCTGAGGAGTAAAAAGGTGACAAGGATGGACTGCACTTATCTGCAAACCATAACCAGGTGTAGATCTACTCAAGGTATTAAACCACTAATTTTGCACATTTGCTGTATGTCAGAGATGACTTTCAAGACATGTTGGTTTAACTCTTATGAAGACTGTTTGCACACTGGGGATTTCAAGCTGGGAAAGGATTTTGATTACTTGCACCAAAGCTGTCTCTCTCAATTCAAATGACCCTCTAATTATTTATACACATGATGATATCTGAGTCCTGATAATAGCAGTTCCAAAAGTCTGGAGATGAAAGCGGAAGTTTATTAAAGTTTTCAAGTGGAACTAAGAGGAAAGACTGAATACTTGCCTTTCTTTTATCTGGTTCCCTAATCCAAAGTTTCAAACCACAGAGGCAAAGTGGCTGAGAGCAACTGGGCACGAGACAACAGAAGTGAAAGGCTCTAAGAAGGGCAGTCAGTGACTGAGCTGGCAGCATTATTTCATAGAGTGCAACACTGTGCTAAAGAAAACCAGCACAGCAGTGCTACTATAGCTGTGCTGCTGGCAAGGGCCAGTGGTTTTAACAGCACCTTGGCCAGTAAATGCAGCAGCAGCCACCAGTTTCCATCCTGTTTACCAACACCCTGAATACACCTTTCCATCCTATTTACCAATACCCTGAATATTTACCAATACCTACAGAACAAAAATCTCCATTTCAGTAAATCTCTGCAGACACTGCCAGGTCTCTAACACATCTGGCACTTTGGTTTGGAGCAGTGGTGTGATTTGGAAGCAAATCCCCTTTGAAGGAAGGGGTGTTGAGTCTTTGATACATTTCTTATTATACTACACTGAGCAGCTGTGGTGGAGCTCATTGTAATGTTAGTGCTCCAAGCACTGATGCATTTTAATTCTTTAGTACTTATTCCTGTTAACATGGGACGACAAGTTATGTATTTATTAGTCATTCATTCTGACCATTTAACAATATTTTATTTCACATAACCTTCCTGCTTTCCTCCTCGAGGATACAAAGTAAGACATATGCATAGGTTGCAAGATAAAACAAACATTTCACTTTAAAGAAGAAAAAAAAAGTAACACAGTACTTAAAATATCTCCTTACCTGTATATTTGTTCATAGGAAATAGGGATGTAGTCACCAGGACTCTGAGTTAAAAGCTGATCTATGGCACTGTCCAACTTTGGCCAATATGTGCTCTTATAGTCTTCAATTGTTATAACATTCATCACTGCAAGAAAAGAGACAAAACTGTATTTAGTAACTTCATCTAAAAGATTAGAAGCAAGTGAATGTTCTGCAATTTCGGATCACACCAATATGCTGGCCAAAAAAACTGGGAACAGCTCACTTCCACTGAGAGAACCTCATCTAAAACTCAAGCCCAGGCTTGAATTTGTACCTTTTTATTTACAGAAAATAAAGTAAAATCGGAAACTTGCCCAGTCAGTGCTTGGATATGTCTCTGGGGCTCAAGTAGCAGGAAAAAACAAATTTCTGGGATTTCTACCACGACAACAACAACAACCTAATAATAATTCATTTATTTATGTTAAAAGAATAGCTCAAATTAATGAATTAGGCAACTTTGTGGCAGTCCACAATCAAAAATTAGCACAGGGTCCTCACACGCAGAAGAACAAGCTTTGGCCAAGACTGGCAGTTTTTTAAACCCTCCTTCCCAGCAGATTTATTCATTTCACAAGTCTCTGGTGGGACCAGCAGATTCCCTGCTCTAAAAGCTGATGCAATTCCCTCTCCCTTCAATTGCAGTTAGGCTTCCAGGCAACTTTTTTGAATCCCTATTACAGTTCCTCTCTAGCAGGCACAGTAATACTCCTTTTCCAGACAAGAATCAACACAGGGAAAACCAGGAGGTGTTTGAATTAGCATTCCCCATCATTCCCTGATCTTCCTCCTGGCTTCCCAACTGCACCTTCTTGGCCAAGTGATTCCGTGTGCCTTCACAGCCACAGAAGGGGTTCAATCTCTGTCTTTTCAGGGAGGATTTCTGAACTAACCCCACGTGGCTCAGTTCCAACAGGTTAAACACCTTGTGTTCAGGGCCATCTCCCAGGACTGCCTTGTCACACCAGCACAGCTTCCCAGTACTCACTCCAAACTCCCTCAGCAACCCAGAGCACAGCATTTACTGCACAGCAAAACTACCCAGCCCAGGAAACCTCAAATCAGTCCTTCAGCTGAACTCCACAGGTGAGTCTGGGCTATATGGAAGAGAGAATAAAGATACTTCTCACCCCACACAATCTAGTTTAGACACCACACTGAAAAGAAACGTTTTTGCTAGGGCTGTGTAAATGTAGATTCACTGTTGGCTTTGAGGAGCAAGATTTCTGAATTTGTATTTTCACAGGAGGTTGAAAGGAGCTGGGTAAATCACTTTTGGCAGCACTGTGAAGAACAATTCTAAGAAAATACAGGCAAACCAGTTAACAGACCAAGCCTTGATTTAGGATTTCCATGTATAATCACATCCATGTTAATGTGGTTTAACATATTAAATGAGCCCTACTAATTTGAAAGAAAGCAGTCACACAGGAATTCAGAACACTGAAAAATCATTTTTAAGGCTGTTGAGATGTTAACTTTTTTTTTTTTTTACAGTATGGACAAAGAAAGAAGCTGCAGACAGGAAGGCCTGCCCATTAGACACGCTGCACAGGTAAAGGACAAAACACTTTTATGAACAGCCCTGGGAGACTTGCATAGAAAATACTGATAAATTCACAGCAAATTTCAGATAAATCCTAGAAAAGCTTCACTCATTCAAAAGTCTCTTACAAGTACTATGTAATTCGATTTCCACACTTCAGTTCTGAAACTGAGCCAACCACAATATTTATATAGCTAAAAGTCCAAGACTACACACTGAACAATCACTACTTTTATTCTTCCAATCCAGAAAACAAATTATTTTAAAATTTTAATAACTGTCACCAGTTAGTGAAGTCCCCTTTTCCTGGCAGTGCTTACACACAAAAAAAGTGAAGGATGGCTTAAAATAGGACCCTCTGACTACAAACTCTGCCAGAACAAGTTCAAGACCAGGAAGGAAGGAATCACACAGATCCTCAGCAAGAAAAGACAGGCTGCATCAGCCTTTTTTGCTTTTTTTACTTTTCCATCTTTTTAGGATGCCATGCTTAAATGCTTATCCCTGCATTAGGTACCTGAGATGTAAAAGGAGTTGCCCAACAGCTTCTGCTCCCAAATCACAAGGAAACATTACTTTCATTTTGTTCAAATTTCGTTGGTTTCTGGGAAATGATACTGATATTCTGTAACCAAACATGCTACAATGCACTATTTTATCCAACGGCAGCAAGTTTGGGGTGGGGGTGGGAGAGAAATCAGCCTGATAAAACAGAAAGGAAGTCAGTATTTTCCAGAGAATAAAAGACTTCACAAGTAAAGCTTGAGCAGCAACTGCTGCTTTTCCATATATAAAAAAAGTTCAAAAGAAAAAGTGTTTAAGTCAAATGCAACAGTGAAACCATTTAAGTAAAAAAGAATATGCATGAGCTTCCTATCATAACCTAGATATATCAGTATCATAGCCATAAGTGAAACACAGCCTGCTCCAAGCTACCAAATTCTTTGATATCAACTTCAATGAAAAGAATGGCAAAAGCCACTAAGATTAAAAAACAAAAACAAACAAACAGACCCTAAGAGCAGGTATATATCCCCTTGAAATTGATAATAACACTTTACACACAGCTCAAAAGAGATGCTGAAACAGTAATGGCACAGGATGTGAAGAACAGAACATTAATTTTAGAACAAAAATAACTGACTTAGATGAGACAAGCCGAAAAACTACTCAACACACTTACTATGGTCACATATAAAAAACAACCTTATCTATAGTTAAAAAGCAAGGGGACAGAGCAGGATGGCTAATCTGACCTACTGCCAAGTGTGCAGACATCAGTCTGACAATTACCTGTCATTTATTCTGCCAATAAAAAGGAAATAAGCAGCTGAGCATCTTTCAGAAGCCGCATTTCACAAAGTGACACATACGAAACTTTTCTGCTTTATTAGCAGCGCACCCTAAAACCCTGAAATATTTTGTCAAAGTGTGCAAACTCTTCAGGCAGATGTCTAAGGCTAATCTGCAGACTGGGGCTCAGTGCCTTCCTTCTTCTCAGCCCTCATGCTCATGTTTACACATTAGATTTTGCTCTACCCCCTGCCTGACACATCCCAGCACACATTAGCGAGTTCAGGAGTCTGCCCCGTGGTTGCTTTCAATTCTGTTCTATTTTTATAACGTGTTTCTCAGCCTGCAATAAGACTGGCTAGAAAAAGGAACTTTCTCTTCATCAGCCCATTTGCATAGGCAGGAATACACACACTCACTGCACGGTGTTATGTGCAGGGAAGGCAAGAGATTTCAGGGATGTGCCAATGCACACAGCCACGTGTGCCTGTCCTAAACAGGTACTGATGACATTTATAACCATCCTTGCTTGAAAAGGATGTAAGAAACAAGAAGAAAACTCTTCGCTTTTCACAACAATGAGTTATGCTGCAATTACTACTATGGAAGAGTTTTTCTTAAAGTATTTAAAGTTCTTACTCTTCTTTTCTCCCTCGTGGCCCTTGCAAAGTACTTTTCATCACAATATAGCTTTATAAATCTGTAAATACAACTGAAGCTGATCAACTCTAAATATTTAGTTATAAGTTTAGCACAACACTGAAGATTTTTTAAGTTGCTTTAACTAGAAGGAAAGCTATTACACAAATTATGCACTATTCTATCTGATTTTAGGTCTCAGTCTCACCACAATCTCAAGGAAGGTGAACTGGATTTGACCCTTTGGAAGACATGAAGGATGACCTGTCCAAGACAGTCTCTGCACCATGAAGCAAGCAAGGCACAAGTCCTTGCTCATTCACCTGCAGAACTTCCTTGTGCAGCAGAGAACAGACAAGGTTTTCATCAAACCTAAGACTGACAATCAGCTTCTCTACCCATTCTGCCACAACTGAGACAGAGCAGCGGGAGAGGATCCAGCACATGCATCGTACATTTACATCCAAAGTGACCCTTCTCCTTTTTTTCTACACGTGAAAATTAAACAGAGGATATGAAGGGATCCTCTGTCAGAGCGAGGATGAGAACAGGAAGCATCCCAACTCAAATCCTGTACTTCCTCAGTCAATACTACTTCACTAGACTTGTTCTGTTCACTTACACGCCTCATCACAACTATCCAAAACACAAAATTCCAAACAACATAAATTTGACAACTTTGTACTGTGCAAGAGAATTTTTTTCTTTAAACCAATACTTAACATCAGTAAGATACTGTGTTGGGATACCAATGCTGGAGAACTCCAAAACTACATCCTAAGCAAAATCATGCTCCGCAGCTTCTTCTCCCCCTCAGACATAAACTGTGGATTAGCTGGAAAGTCACCTTCCCATTTGGGTGGAGATCCAGCTTGAAAACCCTTTTCATTCTGAAACAGAAGGAAGAACTAAGATTCTAAATTTCTGGATTGGGAATTCAAGAGCCTGGGTCAGCGAGGCTGAACGACATCTCACTGCAACGCTCTCAGGTGTTCAGAAGCTACCCAAGTACCTGGAGCCTGACAAGCAAGGCACACTGAGTGCCAGGGAGCCCCAGCTTCAAAGGAGTCAGGCTTGGCCATGTGCCTAGAGCCATGAGAGCCAGGCTGCCAGAGGAGCAGGGATCCAGAAGCCTGAACTTCAAGCTCCTGATCAGCCTGACAGGTGAGCGAGCACTGGGGAAAGCAGGCAGGACAAAGGAAGAGAATTGTGCTTCCCAGCAAAGTTTTATCATGGCAATTACACAGCTAGGAATACTTCTAACCACCCAAATCCAAGTTTTCCAATAGTCCATTAGAAAACAGGGCCCATTTTGCCCACAGGGGTGACTTATGGAAAGAAAAGCAGAACTGAAACGTACAGCAAAAAAATCTTCCTTTCCCTCAACCTTAGCTCAGCAAAACAATGAAAAAGTTTGCCATTCCTACTAAAAGCTACATGCAAAGGATGTTTAGGAACCCTGTCCCTGGAGGTGTTCAAGGCCAGGCTGGATGGAGCTCCAAGCAATCTGCTCTAGTGGAAGGTGTCCCTGTCCATGGCAGGGGGTTAGAGGGACATGAACTTCAAGGTCCCCTTCCAACCCAAACCAGTCTGTGATTCTATTCTGGGGGGTGTAAATTAACACTCAGTTGTTTTCACCAGGCCTGTACAGACCCATTTTAGCTCTCAGTCCCAACAGAGTCTCAAGGAAGGTGAACTGGATTTGGTCCCTTTGAAAGACACGAAGGATAACCTGTCCGAGACAGCCTCTGCATCATGAAGCAAGCAAGGCACGAGTCCTTGCTCACCAGGGCAGAACAGCCCTTCCACGGGCTCTGCACACAAACAGGTCTCCAATTCACCTCGGGGTTTTTCAGACAGAAAGAAAAAGCCTCAGGGAAAGCAAAGAGAAAAACCTTCAGGAAAAGCAACAGTGCCAAACCCTGCCCAGCTCTACTGTGACAGCAAGGCAGGAGAAGTTGGGGTGCGCGCAAGAAGCGTTATTTTCTCCTTCCAAGGCGCCTTAACCCATCTGATTTCGCTTCGAGAAGGCTCTCGGGGCGAGACCCGCGCAGGGGTAGGGCAGAGCCAGGGCAGCGGGGCAGAGGGGCAGCGGGGCAGCGGGGCAGAGGGGCAGCGGGGCAGCGGGGCAGAGAGGCAGCGGGGCAGCGGGGCAGAGGGGCAGAGGGGCAGAGGGGCAGAGGGGCAGAGGGGCAGAGGGGCAGAGGGGCAGAGGGGCAGAGGGGCAGAGGGGCAGAGGCCGCGGGTCACTCACGGAACTTGGACGTGGAGGCGCTGATGTTGATGGCGGCGATGGCCCCGGCCGCGCCCGCCCTGCCGGCCGTGCCCGCCGGCTCGCAGCCCCGCAGCCCCCCGCCGTTGTGCTCGGGCCCCGCGGGGCGCGGCGGCCCCGCCGCCGGCGGCAGCAGCCGCTCCTCCAGCAGGTACCGCCCGTAGACGCCCGCGCCCCAGTTGTTGTGGTTCTGGTCGTCCATCATGGCCTCGCCGCCGTCCTCCTCCTCCTCCTCCTTCATGCCGTCCTCCTTCATGCCGTCCTCGTCCATGGCGGGGCGGGGTCAGGGCCCGCCGCCCATGCCCGTCCCCACGGCCGCCGCCTCAGCCCCGCCGGGCTCGGCCCGGGCCCCAGCCCAGCTCCGGCCGCGCCGCGCGACACTTCGCGACGCGCGGAATACGGCGGGAACGCCGCGCGGCGGCGCCGCGGGGCACGCTGGGGGATGTAGTCCGCCGGGGCGGGGCGATGGAGGGGCGGGGCGATGGAGGAGGCGCGGCCGGAGCGGGGTCCGTCCCTGCCTCCTCCCCGCCGGGGGTTCGCGTTTGCCGGTTCCTCGACGCCAGGGAGTTTTCCCCGGGGGATTTTCCCCGGAGCGCGGCCGCTCCGGCAGGGCCCGCGCTCTGCTCCGCGCTCTGCCCCGACGGGAGCGCTGGGCCCCGGTTCGACAGCGCCCCCTGGCGGCGCCCGGCGGAGGCCGAGGGCACCGCTGGAAAAGGGATTAAATGTGGATTGGGGTCTTACACCGCCCTTCCTGCTCTTCGTGAGCAACCCGGGACAGTGGGAGGTGTCCCTGCCTTGGCTGGATGTTGGAACCGAACGGTCTTTAAGGTCCCTTGCAGCCCAAGCCGTTCTGTGAAGTGCCCGCACACGCAGCTGCTCCCTTACGGTGTTTCCATTCCCTTGTTAAATAGGGGGAAAGCCTGCACCGATAATGTACGAACCCACTTGTCCTGCAATAAACAACGGAACCCTTAAAAAGTGTTTTTTAATATACTCTTCGTCAGGAACTGTGCTGATAGGACAAGGAGTGATGGGTACAAACTGAAACGGGTTAGGTGTTAGGGAGGTTAGATATTGGGCAGAAATTCTTTGCTGTGAGGGTGGTGAGACACAGGCACAGGTTGCCCAGGGAGGCTGTGCATGCCCCATCCCTGGAAGTGTTCAAGGTTGGATGGGACTCTGAGCAACTTGGTCTAGTGAAACGTGTCCCTGTCAGGGTTGGGACTAAATGATCTCTAAGGTCCCTTCCAACCCCTTAACATTCTATGATTCCATGATAATATTGCCCAGTTGCCTTACATTGTTCTTACTTTGGGTGTTATCTTCATTTGCACCTGGATGCTATGACAGAAGAACGGAAATTAATAGTGGGTTTTTACTGAAAATAAATTTCCACTGTGTGGGTTTTTTTTGCTCTTTCTTGGCAAGCAAACAAAAAAACAAAACAAAAAAAAAGGTGAAAAATCTAGATAAGATCAGATTCTTCTTTCCAAAACATCTCATAAAAAGTGAAAAGTGTGTCATTTGTTTTCCAAGTTGAAACACAAACTTGTATTTCAGCATGAAACAAAATTGTCCTGGTTTATACAAGCAGAAGATGCCACTGATTTCCCAGCACTGTGGAACTGTCTCGAGTTGCTTTGATAAAGACAAGTGATTGAAACAGTTTGTCCTTATTGCACGGGGTTTTTTCATACATATTTTAAGTGAACAGCGTTTTTCTTAGATGTGAAGATCACGCTGTGAACATCAGTGGTCTGTTCAAGCCAATAGAGAGTCTTCTCCATTTTCCATCTGAGTAAACACCAGTGAGTCACAGTTTTGTCTCAAGAGTCCAAGAGCTGATTTGGCACATCACTCATAGATCTCAGTTTGTGGGCTCAGCATATTCAACACACCTGCTTTGGCTGTTGATTTATTTCTATCTACACCTTAACCACAGCTAGAAAAAGAACAGACAGGACATTTTTGTTCACTTCTGCTGCACCTTTGCATTTACTGAGTGGGATGTGCAATATAATGCAAGTGTCAGTAGAGTCATCTATAATGGATATTAAACTTGGAAAGCTAAAGCAGCAAAACAATTTTTGGCTAAGTAAGTGTTGGGATTCTCTGATAATCACAAAGAAATGAAGTTTGTGTAACTTCACTGCTTCAAGAACGAAATGTTTGTGTTGTCAACACTCAGAGCAACTCCACTGTACCCTCCTGCTCATCTGCTCCCACTCAGACTTTGCCACTATTTAAAAACACTGTGACCTGAGGAAGAATCAGAAACTTACCTTTATCAGCATAAATTTATCTTTGTTTTACTAATTTCAAAAGTGCTTATATGAACACCTAAAACCAGTGGAAAAGTAAGACAAGCCCAGCATTTTTCAGTTCTAGAATTCTAGAATTTCTTCTTTTCTGTTTCATGCTCTCCTGTTGCACAGACCTATTTTTGTTACTATCTCTGTAATTTGCTGAGCAGCTGAGGTCTCTGGTTTGGGTTGGGGTTTTGTTTGTTTATTTTTCTTTTTTTCCCCATGATCTTTAAAGGTATGTTGCCTTTCTAATCCCTTTTCACAACATTCCTTGCACTGTGACTGTACTCACTGCACTTCCTTGTGGCAGGAATCCAAAAAAGCTTAGGAAATACTTCACCAGGCATTTCTGCAGAGTCTCCTCCGTTGCCTTGTGCAACAAGCCAGCTCATCTTACAAATCAAACAAGCAGCTCTTTCTTGCCTCCCATAAGGCAAATGACAAGCTGCAACAGTCATTTCTGGCTCATGCTATTTAAAATATGACTGCACGCTGATAAAGGCACTATCAAACGGTTCATCATTGAAGCAGCACTTGTTTTTGCAGGCACTGTGGAGACTTCTCAGCATTGTTTCCTTTTTTCCTCGTCAGCATGTGAAAATTTGACTCAGGCTTTAAATACTGCCTTGGCAAAATAACATTTTGCAATAGCAGAACTATAATTATTTCCACTATTAGCTGAGAATACCACTTAAAAATGCACTTCTGACAAGACCTGAGGATCCTCACGTCTCCATAACATCCCTAGAGATCTGAGACTTGTCTCAATTGTAAGTAGCTCGTCAGCAGACTGGAGAAATTCCGGCAACAAAGTAACATGCAGATGTCACACTTTCATTTCAGTCTCCTGGATCTGTAGGTAATTACCCAGACAAGCCTTCCAAGCGTTTGTTATGTCTTCATCTTTTGTTGTTTTTTTTTTTTTTTTTTTCAAGCCTTCCAAGCGTTTGTTATGTCTTCATCTTTTGTTTTTTATTTTTTTTTCTTTGGCGCAGCACTTTTGATAACCAGGTCACAGCCACAAGCTTTGCTACAAATTAAAAGGGAAGATCAAGATTTCCTAATAGTACCCATCCGTGGAAAGTGTGAGCCATATTTTCTACACAGAAATTTACAGAAATGAGACTACAAGGAAGCTTTTCCTTCTAGGTTCTCAAGAAGCAGGTTGTGACACTTGATTCTGCTGGATGTCATTTCAACTTCACATGAACATTTATATCTATCAGACAAGGGGATTTTGTTTTTCTCACACATTTGTGCTTATAAAGTAGAGTTATTGGGTATTATTAGTGCAGCTGTTTCTGCACTCTGTGTCCCAGCTGGGTGTACGTAAGTAGCAGATAAATGATATACGAGGCATGTTGGTAAAAGACATACATAACATGTTTGGGTTTACTTCCTGCTATTGGTAATAAACATTATGGCATGGATACAACTCTTCTTATTTCAAAACAGACCATTTTTCCGTATTTCCCAAGCGCCCAGTCCATTGAAGTCAGCAGGAAAGCTTTCATTGATTTCAATGGGATTTCAATCAAGCCCTAACACAGCATGTAAAACGCTTTTCAGATTTATAGCTCTGGTTCTAAATACCAAATAAAATAATTCCAACAAGAAAGAAAGATGAATGCTAAGCAGAGCCTTAAATAGCAGTCTGTCAGGAGGAGCATGAAACACAGCTCTTTCAATGGCAAATAAGACAGCCCCTTGCAGAGTGCTGGCAGAGAGCAGATAAACCAAAAAGGAGGCTTAGGTGCTTGTTATTTTTGAGACACATTTTGACAATCGATGACTTGCTCGAGCACAGAGAACCAATAGTCCCTCTGCAGCCTGGCAACTTGTGACATATCCCTTCCAACAGAAATTACCACTTAGGGCAAACTGGTTAGTGTAAAATTTTCTTGAAAATGTGCCAGTGGTGTGGAGAGACCACCCTTAGTGTTTCTTGGCTATATACCCTCTGCAAACACAGACTATATACAGTGTGTCTCATTATATTCTGATGTCTCAGTTGGTCTCCCCCTAGGAAAAGTTAAAAAAAAAAAAAAGGAAAACAAAAAATCCCAAATAAAAAGTACCACATCATATGCAATAATTCCTTGGGAAAAAAATCTGTTAATGCATTTTACCAGCTGTATTGATTTCTGAGAGTTCAGAAGGTGTTACTCACAGCACAGGCAGAAACCAGCTGCCTGAAAAGGAACAATCCCTGCCATCCTCCACAGGGAGAAGCTCTACTTGGAACAAAGGAAATCCCAACTACCCCCCACCAAGACAGCAGGAGTGTGCTCTTGCTGGGTGCCAGCACAGTGCCTTTGGTGCAGAAGAGAAGCACACAGCTGCCATCCAGGCAGGGAACAGCAGGGTAAGTGTAAGCTGCTGAGCAAAGCACAGGCACTCCAGGGATGTCTGTCCTGTGCTGGACATACAGCTGCTTTGCAGGGCACAGCAAAACACATAGTCAAAAACCAAAAAAATACAAAAATACGTAGTCAAATCACACCATATTCTCCTGAAATGAACAGAAGAGTCACACCACAGGCTGCTCTGTGCTATCCCTGGGTGCATATGTAGCTCAACAATTTACATTTAGGGTAAATGGGAAAGTTTTACGAAAGGTTCAAGTGCATCCTTGCTTCTGTCCTGCAGTGAGGCTGTGTTCCTCCTCCCCAGCCTTATAAACAGAACAGAACCCAGAACTGTGTGAAGCTGTTTAAAATGGAAATATATTTTCAAACCAGCTCCCCTTTCTCTGCCTGAACTCCATCACCAGTGAGACATTAAAAGCACAACGACCACAGCAGTATCTCCACTGAAATTTTTCCAACTTCCCCATTAGTGGTCACATTCCCACCATCATCTGTGCCTGGTGTGAGGGCCCTGAGTGCAGTAATTTGCTATAATTAACATAACCAGCCTCACCTAGGCGCCCATAAAACGTGTGGCCTTTTGTCCACAAGCTCTCTTTAAGCCCAGAGCTTAAGGTTCACTCCAAGGTTCACGTCCATGGGACGTGCTGTGCATGTCCCATCACCT